TTTATCCGACCTAAATTTTATTTCAATATTTTTGTTTCGTCTTCTTCTTTCCTTTGATTTTTTGCTTAGTCATCGACAACACCAATCTGAACATTGGTTGCTAACTGTCAATAATTATTAGTTCTTTTATTTTTTTTATATTACGTTTTTTGCTTGAGTTTGTTTTTTGAATTTTGAATAAAAATCTTTTTCATTTTGACACGTTTTTCTATGTTCTTGCATCACACGTTTTTCTTTACTCTTATGACACGTTTCTTATGACTTTTGATACGTTTTTTTTTTTGCATACATTTGCGGTCATTTTGGCGCTCGCACAAAGATCCTTGCGCTATTTGTTTTCTGATTGGTTTGTTGATGGTCAGGTATAGTCAGGTCCCATATTTGATAAAAAGTTGTTTGCCGATATAATCAAAATTGTGTAGCAAAGTAACTTGTCAGATAGTTTGGTTTGCTCATCACTCCTCTATCACTCTATAAAGCGTCTTATTTGACAATGACAAAGAGTTCTTATGAAGGTTATTAGATTCTTTTGATGTTAGACATCATTCTCAAGGGAATATTTTATTTTCTTACTTCTTATTTTCTTTCCTTCCTTCTCCTTCTCACTTTCTTCCAGCTTTAACATAACTGTTATCGTATTTTTTGCAAATTTTAATTTATTATTTTATTTAATTAGTCTTGTCCTTTTTATATGAAAACGATAGATGGTCCTGTTTACTTTTATAGCACGTTCTTTGTCTGTTCTTGTAGCACATGTTCTCTTTTCTTAAGGTCAATTTAACGTTGTCTCTCCAAATAGACTTTATTTGATTATCTTGTTGATCTACCTCTATTTCAGGCTCTTAGATTGGTGACATGCACTCATTGTTATATGCATTTTATGCTAATGTTGATAATATTCATCTTTTTTTTAAAAAGAAGAAGAAGAAAAGAGCCTCATTAAAAACTCCTCATGACAATGATGGTTGCTTATATTTATTTTTATAGTTGTTTGGTTGAATTTTTAACTATTTTTTTTATATTTTTCATATTTTATTTCGAATTGCCTAGTTTGTACAATTTCTTAATTTTAGAAGAAAGATCGATTAAAATATACAGACTAAAAAGACATAAAGAACAAGCTAAAATGGCACAAACAAATATAAAAAAAAATAAGTGTGAACAACTTAATCAACCGATTAAATATGTTTGCACGACGTATATTTTGGACCAATCACATATAAAAAAAGAAATACGATAATAGATTCCTCAGAGTCAATTTGTGGGCAGTTAGGAATAATTGAGGTCGCCCCACCGCCTTTATTTATGCGACTTTTTTCAAGCTGTCCAACCATTGGTTGGTAAGTTATAAAGGCTAGAACAATCTATGAAAGATAAAAATATTTTATTTAAACAAATTTATACAAAATTAGAACATTTATATTACCAACTTCTCATAAATAGAAACTTACTAAAAATAATTTTAAATAATAGATATAAATCTATAAAAAATTTATTTTTATTTTAAATCAAATAAAAAAACTTAAAAGATTTGACTTTTTTCATTTGTATTACTTTTATCTTTCCTTCACTTTCTTATCTAGCTTCTTTGATTTTTTTTTCTAATAACTTGGTCTTTATAACACGTTTTTATCCGTCTTTTGAAATATTTTTGATCTTCTTTATCAGTTGTTTGGACTTTCTTTTTGTTTAATTTTCTCATGAATGGACTTAAAGTCGTCGCAACTGATTGATATTATGCTTATTTGTTATCATGTTGATCTTTCCTGTTTTGGACCCTCATATTGAATTTGGATACGCATTTTGTGTTCACGGATAGTTTTCTCTTGATGTTGGCTCTGATTTGTATTTGCAAGTAGTCTTCCAGTAGTTTGAATACCTGTTGTGGTTCGTTTGTCTATTTAGTCAGATATGTTTGTATCTATCTTTTGTTTGAGTTTTTTTATGAGTTTTTCATCTTTTTCTTGTATGGCCCTCATATAATCTCAAGTAACTAGTTTCTTGTATCGATGTTATATGAGAATGTCATAAGTATGTGTTTAGTTTAAGATGATGGTTATAAACATTCATTATAATTTGAGATATTTTCTCTTTTTAATAAAAGTAGCTACTTCTATTTCAAAAAAAAATAAAGATTTATAATTATTTAATATTACAATTTAAACTAAAAATGTGTTTTAATTAAAAATCTTATTTAATAATTTTCACAAATCTTTAAATAAATATCAAATTTTCTACATGTATAAGGTCTAGTTACACTAACTTATTAGTTTTACACAAGAATATATTCATTAGATGAATCTAAATGGGTGACTAAGATTAAAATTTTACGCTTCTATTTTTTTCGTGGAAATTGAAAAATAAAAAACCAATAGTAATGGGACAAGTTTAATCTCAAGCATTCATTTAAACTTATCAAAGGACTATATATGCAAATAAAATTTGCAATAAAATTTAAAAACTCCAATTATGATTATGTAGAATGTGTAATACCCAAAAATATGATTAGTGGCCCACATGAATAGAATGAAAGTTTGTGGCTAAAGTATAAAATCCAGAAAGTTTGGGACTAAAATGGTAATTTTTAAAAGTATATATTTTTGTCCCTTAAATGAATATTTACTCTCAAGAATGACGTTTTGGTGTCACTCATATTTTTAGTACGGAGTTTGTGTTAAAAGCTACAAAGTTCGAGAAGATTCGGATAATTGGATCGAATAAAAAATTTAGAAAATTTTGCTAGATGTTAAAGCAGGGAAAAAATGTCTTTCCGTACTTTAAAATGATAAGATTTAATGTGGACCATTAGATTTAAGTTGATTTTCATGTTAAATCTTAGTCATTGGATGAAAAGGACAATATTATAATTTTGGAACTTTATAAGGGTAAAGTTGTAAACTACTAACTTCATAGTTTAATTTCAGCCCTTGGATGATAAATTTGATACATGGCATGATTAAGATCATCATATTTTAAGGTCATAATAGTTATTTTGGACTAAAATGAATTTTAAATTCAATTAGGTTATAAAAATCTAAAAAAAAACTTAAAAAAGAACAAATCAAGAACTTTCTTGAATTTGTTTCTCTGTGGTGAGTTTCAAAAAAAACAAGACATCATTCAAAATTGGGTCTAACTAACAACAAAGGAAAGGAAAAGATCGAGCTTAATGCTTAATAAGACTTATATTTTGACTTATATAAAAAGTGTCAAGGTGAGTGCAATGCATACATAACATTATACATGAATGTTTTTATACATCATTAAGAAGACTTGCGATGAGTCTACCTTGTTTATATTAGCATGATAATTAGGTCATTAATCATATATTTGACATATGTTAAATATGACAAAAGTTAATATAAAATGCATTGATCACTAGTTTATTTATAATGTTATATAACGAATGTTATTTCGGGTATGAACTGCCCAATGTTGAATTATGTTGATATACATGTCATGAATGAAATAAATATAGATTATATGCTCGAGTAGGTCATTGAGAGATAGTGGTATAGTTGGCGTGCCATAGAATCCAAAAGCAGTCTATATATTTGATTTAGCACTATAACGTATATAAAGGATATTTAGTGCATATGGTGGGCACGACCTTATGTGCAATATGGTGGGCACGACTTTATGTGTATTGTGGTGGGCACAACCTTATTTGTATTAGCACTTCGGTGCATATATTGACTCGTGTACTCAGGGTTTTCATAGGCTTATATTTGAGTTATAGTTTATTGGTTAATAAATTACAAGCATGTGATAAAGCTTTTGAGCTTATGAAATAAATGACAAATATACTTATAATAAATTATATACTTTGTTTATTCCATGTTAATATGTGTAACATAAAGGTAATACATGTAAAGTGATTAAGCTTATAAGTTATTGCCTCACACTAAGCGTATACTTAGCATGTGATATTTTCACGCTAGGTAAAAAGCAGAAAATTAGTGTAAAGAGTGTCAAACATCACACTCATCAAGAGATATATCTACAGTATCAGTAATTACATCAATATGATGTAGTTTAAATTTCTAGTTGGCATGTATAATAATAGTAATAATAATAATAGATTGTTTCTACTAGTTTAGATATAGTTGATAATAACTTATAAGCTAGTCATATTGGTAATGATATATAATGGTTAAAATAAACAATGGGTAGTTTATATTAGTGTTTGTAATTGTTAAATGAATTACAAGTTTAATAATATGGTAAACAATAGGATAAAATGGAGCTGATTAAGGTTGAATATAGGAAATTTTTAAGCAACTATTAGTTATGTACCGCTAAGTTGCTACCTGAAATTTGATTTAGTTTAGTTAATTAAAAACTATAAATTGATGTTACTTGATAAATCGATAAATGGTTTAACTTTAAATGTTATAAAATCAGTTTTGACATTCTGACTCGTATTTGGGAATTAAATACAAGTAAAGGTGTTACAGAATGATTCAAGGTTTAGTGTTTAATTCGATTTTGATTCGATTTAGTATACTATATTTGAATTTTGACTAAAACTTAAAAAACCCAATTCTTATTTAAATTAGATGTAGTTTTTTATTTTTATTTTTTACAAATTTTAAAAATAAATATTTTATGTTAGTGGAAAAAAACTTAAAATCATTTAAAATATTCATTGAAAGTGGACAACTTTGATGAATTGATGCTAATCAATATTTTTATTTTAACCGCTTGCCTTTGATTTGAGGTAATTGTAAGGGGAAAAGAAATGATTTGTTGGTTGTGAGATGATACCTACTCAATCTTCTAGTAACTGCAAACTTAATTAAAACTACACATTAAAATAATTTTTATATTAACAACTATCAATTGGTCCGACGAGATAAGACGTGGGGCCAAACTCGATGGAAAAATATCATTCACACGCGCCTTACAGCGCGTTTCATTTGAAACGTTGCTTAGCGTTTGGCCGTACTTTTGTGTGAACCACACATGTAAAGAAGACGTCATTGCTTATATCACAATACTTTTTCTTCTTAATACTTTTATCTATTTTTTAATTAAAAAATATTACGAAGCTGGTTGTCCACAAATTATATTGAAAATAAATATGATCCTCCTAACATGGAACGAGTGCATAATGATATAATTGACAGTATTTTAAAAATGTAAAAAAAATCATGTATGTTGATGCTTGTATTACCTTTGACAAAACTTATCCGAGGAATAAAATATGATTAAATCGAATTGAAAAAGAAAGTAGTAACAATAAGAAATCATTTATTCGTTAGTGACTATGATATCATGTGGTTAGAGATATTGAATCATGTTTATGATTTTCTAAAATAAATCGTTTGCGTGTGATATCAGATAACGTAAGATGAATGTCTCTTAAGATGCAACAACGAGATGAAGACTGTACTAACACGAATGCAATGATAATCGAAGTGTAATTGTACCTTCTTCTAACATTGAAAACATTTAAAAGTAGAGAAAATAATTTTACGAGTGAATTAACCTTGTAGGTTTACATGATTTAAATATGAATTCACACTAAAAAATATTAAAAAGTTCGAATAATGAAACAATAAATATACGTCATTAATGCATAATACTCTCATCCCATAATGAAGGAAACATTAATCCATAATATGTCCACAACGTAAATTAAGGTAACAATTACTTAAATTAATGTGTTAATTATAAGTTATGGCCAAATCAGTCCAGACATTTGTCATCGTACACGTGCGCCCCCAACCCGATCAAGCTTGGGTAGACACTGATATGCACCCATGCACAATGTGCAAGTTCTACGACACCCAAGTTGAATCATGTATATAACATGTCTCATATTTGGAATCCCTCCAATGTGGGATATAATTTTTTATTTTTTCTCAACACAATTCACAAATAGCTTTCAAATATAATTTCTTATTCACCACTCAATTATTTTGAACATATGATATACCGTGATAAATGTCTCATGTATAGAATATAAAACCATAACGACTTCAATTGAATTAACACTTAATCGATATTGAAGTTTAATATTGTTAAATTGTATCATTATATTTTTAACTTTCTGTCTTTCCTTTTTCTTTATTTTAGAATCGTTGTAGCTGAAAGTTTGGCCAAGGAGAGTGAGACAAGCTATGTTTGACTTAAAATAAGATTCCTAGCTAATAATAACGTTAAGAATTATTAGATACAAAAGTTTTTTTTCTCTATTTTTTTTAAAGAAGCAACAAATTCAATGATAATTACAAAAACAATATGATTGTCCATCAACTCATACATCCCCTACCTTATGCAAATAAATATAGCATTTAACATAATACATACTATACTAATCAATTATTTCGGTCCGATTAAGAAAAAAAATTATGTACGACCATTTCGATTTGAATGACTTAATCAATTTATTCAAATTTTTATATATAAAAACCGAATTAATTTAATCAACCGAATGCATACCCTATGTATTATAGAGTGGAGTATATTTTGATTTTTATAATTTTAAAGTTACTAAATACTATTTAACTACCATTATTTAGCACGAATTAAACAACCTCAGTAATAAAAAAATTATTATTATTCATTTTAGATCCCGGGTTATGATATTAAGAATTTCAAATGTATAAGTATTAAATATCAAATAATTAAGAGTTATTTTTGAGAAGATAATAATTAATATTTACCCCAAATTTTTTTTAAATTGCATTACTATAACCAATGAATGAACGACAACAATGATTAAAATAGAAGAATAATAAAGGAATAAAATAATATAATTTATAAAAAAATTTGGAAATTGTGTACGTGTCGGCAAGCGTATGAGGTCAAATGGCAAGTGGGCGACGTGGTTTCGTGCCCTCCTTTCGTACCAAAGTCTTCGCCTAAACTCTCACGTTTCTCGTCACGAATTTCCTATTATTTACCTAATTGCCATTAACTCTGCTGTTATTTTTACCGCACGTGCTGTGATAAAGGGGGAGAAATCTGTCCACGTCACCCACTGTTTGTTTGGTGGCTTTTGTTAATGATAGAAAAGACAAATAACATGTGGCATCGAAGATCATTTTTTGCCCTAAGAAGAGATTTCTTTTGTTTTTTTGTTTTTATTTTTGTTGTAATTTTTATTAAATAAATAAATAACAATTTAATTTAATTACATACATATGTCATTGTTTGACAAATATTGTTTTTACAAAAGTAAAAAAAATGAAAAATATCAAATTAATCTTTTATGTATGTTATTATCAGGTTCAGTCTGAATTTAAAACATTTTATTCACCTCAACTTTAATTTAAATGTTTAATTAGAAATTCGACACTAACTTAATGTTTTACAAAATATAATTTTAGTTTTTCATACATTTTTATTAAAATAGAAAAATATTTGAATAAAATTAATTAAAATATAATTCAATATCATAACTTTAATATCTTATATGTTAGTTTTTTCATATATTTCATCGAAACTTCATTAATAATATTTAAATATGATAAGATTTAATTATATAATATAAAACTTTTTAGTTTTACACAGATTTAGAATTGTTTCAATTAATCAACGATCATAAATCTATATAAATTAAAAAAATACATTGTGTGAGTATCATAAAATTATATAAATATATAAAAATAATATTTTTATAACTATCATGAGGTGGAATATATTTTCTTATACTCGAATTTGAAATTTTTATTATTTAAATTAAATGTATAAATAAATTCTTCAAAGTTTTAGTAAACAAAATTAATTAATTGAAATTAATAATCTATCCCTAGTTGGATCCCACTAATATCCCAATCCATCGATTATACGGGATGCCCACATACAATAAAACAATTAAAAATTATGGCATTTCTCTAGTAAATTGGACGATTTTTTCCATTAAAAGCTGCATTTGTTTGTCCATTTGCAAAAGATTTTTTATTACAATTGCGGCCAAAAATTTAATGTTTTGTTGATTTTATGGCCCTTTATTAATGTACTTATTGCTTTGCCAAATTTCCTTTTTTAGACCTTTTATCCCTCCAAGGATCAATGGAATTATTTGATTTGAATTTTATTTATTTTTTATCAAAACATTTTTGTTTAATTTTAATTATAAGGTATATTCATAGGTCTCCTTTTGTTTTAAAGGAGTTTTATAATTTTATTTTTAATGAAATTCTAAGGGATTTTTTACATAGGAATATATTTTATATAAATAACTATTTGATACATATAAGATGAATTTTTAATCTAAAAGTGGAATTTAGAAATTATAGGTGTTTTTAAATGTATGTTGTATTGTTGGTTGCAAGAATGGATCGGGAGATGTTAGAGTTACCGTTGTATTTTTTAATATGTATTTTTTAAATTTTATATATCCTTACATAAAATTTTTCGTCCACCTATAATTGATCACACTAACTATTTTGATATTTTCTCTAATTTTCTCAAATTATTTGATCAAGATATAAAAGGTTTATTACGTTATATTTAAAATTATTTTATAATTTCTGAAAACCCTGTAAATATAATATTTTGACTAGGGACCATAAAATAAACAAAACAATTATTGTAGAAGATCATGGAAATGGGGTTTTATTTTTTATAAAGCGTTTACGAAAAGAGAAAAGGAAGAATCCTTCTCAATCTAGGAACAACCAACACGTCAACCTGTACTTTCCTTCTTTAGGTTATCCTCTTGATTTCTCCATCAATTCCTACCGAATTCCCTTCCAAAAAGAACTTTGAAAAATCAAATTTGATAGGTTGTTTTTGGTATAATCACGTTTTTTATTAATTAATTATTTTAAATTGAATGTTATAGATATCTAATTTTTTAATAATATGAGGTGATTATAAAATAATATCAGTTCCAAATTTTTCTTAATCATTAACGACACACAAATCTTGTAGACTTAGAATCTCAAGAGAGAACAATATTACCTTTAACTACTTAAACCACTCAATTAGTTTATTATTGTAGATATCTATTTTAAGGCAATCAATTTTTTTTCATTCACAATAATATTCCATCTTGCTACAAATAATCAGTTGGTCTAGTGAGACGAGACACTAGATCCCTTAATCAGTCAGGAGTTTGAATCCTAATATTTACTAATATAACAAATTGGGTTGAGAGGATTATCTTCATATTGGACCTCTAGAGTGCTCGATTTGAATTAGTCAATTAATAAATTAGAAATCAATGGTTATACAAACAAAATTCTATCATACTAGACCAATCGATAATTGTTAAATTTAATAATTTTATTATTATTATAAAATACGACACCATTAGCTAATAAAATTAGACATAAATGTACAAGGTGAAGTAAGGGTTTCCCATATCAAAAAAATGGGAACTTTAGGCCCACATGTGGGATTTATGGCACACAAGCCTCAGCTGTAAAAACTAAACTCAAAGAATATAAATTACTGTTGTGTGCTCAAATCCAATAGGTAATTTCAGGCATAAATTTTCGTAGAATGAGAAGGCAAATGGAGAACCAAATTCCCAATCACCAATCTTTGTTTCTTGCCTTTTCTTTTCATGAAATCATTGTTATTGTTACTTATCTTTATTCCCTTGAATGGAGCCTCCAACATAAAAGGACTAATATTGTAGTTTAACGTGGGTATTTTAATTTTGATAAATATATATTGTAGTTTAATGTGTGTATCTTTATACCATTACTAAGTAGTTTTGTAACTAAGTGGGAGTGTTTATATTTTTAATAGTATGTGGTGAATCGGTGAATATAAATTTTTATAATTAAATTTAAAATAAAAACTCGAATAACTTAACAAAAAGAATTTTCAAATAAAATTTGAATTGTACAGGTGACTCATCGATTCGAGTAGATAGTATATTCACCCTTAACTATAATAAGGTTAAATTTCAATTGTGAGAGCCGAATAGAGTAAAATCAGCGCCCAATTCCAAGTGAAATGGGGTTTGAAAGGATAACACTACTAAAAGTGGATTGTTTTATGGTCCTATTTGATATGGGTTTGTTTTTCTCAAGTGGAGAAAAATCAAATAAACAAGTCCACAACGTTATCGAACAATAAATGAGTAATAGTTATTGTCCGACTCAAGATAATATTATAATTTTTTTATATATTTAAAGATTATTAATACAATATCTAACTTTCTATAATTTTTTTATTAAATCTACAGTTTGTCAAATAAAAATAAGATTTTTTTTTATATTTTTGTCATTTTATAACGAATTAAATACAAACTTTTATCTCAAAAACTGAGTCATGTTTCAGATTAGAAAGAACCTCTTTAAACTTAAATTGGGTGAAATTTAGATGGAAGGGATATGATGCTCGGGTCGGTCTAACAAAAAATTGGCTAGTAAAAAAGTCAATTTAATTATTTATTTTAAAAGTTTTATGAAATTGAATATAAATTTAAAATGCAGTTCTGCTCATAAGTTAAAAAGTAAATACTTTTTAATTTATTTTTAAAATGATAATAAAATTGTTTTAACTTAAAAATACATTGAAGTATCGAATTCAATACCCGTCAAAAGTTGAACACTTGATTAAGCATTTATTTACTTACCTATTATTGATGATTGTGATTGGCTTGCCTTGATTTGTAATTCTTGTTTAATACATGTGGTTGAATCTTAAACCTTTTACCCTAATCCAATACCCATTTTTCTTCCATTTTCTTAGAAAGAATAAGGTTGGAATGAAGAGTAGTGATAGGGATTTCCTTTGCCTAGATTTGTTGACCGAAATCCTCAAATTGCCTGTTAAGTCCATCATTCGTTTCAATTGTGTGTCAAAGCAATGGCGCCACCTCTTTCGCAATCCCGACTTCGTTTCCCGCCATTTTAACATCGCCCGGAAGAAGAAGTTTCTCATCGTATATTATTGCGAAGGTACCCTCGACATACCCGTCGTTGTCATGCACTTGTTTGTCGATCAAGACCTCGTCGCTTACCGCAACATGCGTCGACAGTTGCCGCCACATTTCGTTAATCTGTTCGTTTTCAACTTTTGTGTCGAGAGTGGACTGATTTGTTTGTTTGATCGGACCAAGTCTCGTATAACCATATCTAATCCCGCCACGAGGGAGTTCAAGATCCTCCCCGAATGCAACGATGGCATTCCGGACAAGTCGTATACTTTCGCGCACACTCTTGGATTCGGATTGGACCCTTTGTCCAATGACCACAAGGTGGTTCATATTCGGTCGTACGTGGACGAAGAAACCAACATTCAAGGACCGGATCATTATGCTGTCTACAATATGAGTACTAATTCATGGAGGGTGATCAAACACAAAGAGTCTTGGTTGTTCGAGTGTCTCGGGGTTTGTCCGAACGGAAGTAACGCATGTGCGAACGGTGTTTATTATTGGCTGACGGACTATAACATCCTAGCATTTCATTTGGGCCGAGAAGTTTTTCAGTTGATCGAGTCACCCTGCGGTGGATCGTTTGGGAGGCTGCTTCCTTTGAACGACCGGATATCGTTTTGGGATACCGAGATGATGGACAAAAGTGCAAGGACTAATGAGGTTTGGATATTGAACGATGAGTCCCGTTGGACCAAGTTATTGAAGATAGAACCGAGTCCGGATTTCGAAAAGATGTTCGGGTTTTGGAAGTACGGCGAGGTATTAGCCGAATCGGCAACCGGAGAGTTCGTGCTTTGCGATCTCGAGACACATAACTCTCGTCAGCTCGGGATTAAAACTAGGGTTCGTGGAGATTTACTTCAGGTATATACTTACGAGGAAAATCTTGTTTCGATAAAAAGAGATTAGGTTGGGTTGTTTACAAAGCAATAAGATGAAGTTCAATCTAATATTTTCATGTTGAAATGGCGTGTTAATGTAGACAGTAGAAAGTTGTAATTGGGAGATATGATTGATCATGTTTTTGATAAAAAATCGTATGCAAAAATTTAGCATATAAGTCACAAGAATTATGGTATTAAATTAAAATCTACTTTAATTTTATATTATTAAATTGAATAAATCAATATTTTATTTGTTTATTTTTAAAAACATGTGAAAAAAATACTAAATTGTGTTCGATTAAAGTCAATTCTTAATTAATTTTTAAAAGAATTTAGATAAATAAAAATACTTTTAAATTTGAGTCTAATTAAGATAAAAGTTTATTATTACAATGTATTGAGTTCATATTAAATGAAGATCCACTCTTTCGGTTGCCATTAATGATGGGCATGGGTCAGATTCTCTGTCAACTCAATCCGACATAAAAATATAGACCATTCACTCGAAATTCGACTTAAATTTAGGGTGACTTCACCCTACCTAACCTTTGAAATAAAACTCAAACTCAACACGATCAAACTCGATGCAAATATATTCATAAAAAGTTCTTAATTTTATTTGATAAAATAGAAATCTAATTGAAAAGAATAATATAATATAAATATCATTGTAATTATTCATAAATATATAAATTATAAATATTATTTTTTGAGTTAAATCGAGTCAAATGTTTTTTTACCTTAAACTCAAACTAAACTTAATTCTAATCCAATTTTTTTTAAAAAAAACTCAATAAAATCAGATAAAATCCATCCCTGTCCCATCCGTGCCAGCAAGTTAAAGTTATACTATGAAATCTCATAAGTACGTGAGAAAGAATTATCAGAATATAGATAAATTTCAATTGTTGGAAACCAGAGCCCAAACAAATGCTTGGAAGACAAAGAGCCCAAATCAAAGCCTAGTTAGGCAAAAGTCCTAAGATAACTCCAGGAAAACTGAGTTTGTATCATTCGTACTATTTTTAATTTATTATATTAGTAAATTTTAAATATTTAGTTTTTATTAAAACTGAAATTATATATATATATATATATTTATTAATTTAGAGTTTATATAAGGTAATATTTATTCAAAAAAAATTCAATCATTTAATATTTATCATTCTCACACATTTGACATTTATGATCCTAAAACTCGAGACTTTAATAAATAACAACAATTCTTTTACTATTATGCAAACTGAAATTATACTCGTATCCATGTTATTTTACTATGTATACTATATATATATTATTATTTTTAGTTATATATATTTTTATATTTTAATAATGTAAAATTAAAACTATCACTACAATGATATGCATTAACAATATCAATACTTGTTGTTCACTCTATTGATAATTATGTCTAAAACTCGAGACTTTAATAAATAACAACAATTCTTTTACTATTATGCAAACTGAAATTATACTCGTATCCATGTTATTTTACTATGTATACTATATATATATATTATTATTTTTTAGTTATATATATTTTTATATTTTAATAATGTAAAATTAAAACCTATCACTACAATGATAATGCATTAACAATATTCAATACTTGTTATGTTCACTCTATTGATAATTATGTTTCTTAAAAAGTGAACTTACGATTAGTTTCAAAAGTTACAAATTAGTCACTAACGTTATCGATTTGTAATAAAATGGTCCATCGACGTTAACCGTCGTTAATGTGCTAACGGAAAGCTGAGCCGGACTGTTAAACGCTGATCTGGACCATCGCTGGAAAACTGTTGGAGTCCCTGTTGACCGACGCTTCGCAGATCTGCTTCTCGACTGCAACTGCAGCTTCACATATCTTTGTCTCTATGTTTCTCCTCTTCTTCCTCATGCACAGTCTCTTCCGTCTCTATCAGTTCCTTTACCAGATCGTGAATAGAAATTTATGATACTAAAAGCTTCGAGGGTTTAAATTTGAATAAAGAGTGATGTAACAGCGGCATCCTGCATTTGAAAAACTTCGAGAATCTACAACGAGGCATGTAATGAGATTATGTGATTCAAAGCTTGGGATTTTGAATACTTGATCAGCCTTAATAACAACGGAAACGATTTGAATATTGCAACTTGTAAGAAAGAAGCCCAGGAAATTAACCATAAGAATGAGATCGTTCATGTCCCTTATAAGCTGATCATTAACTGTTAATTAGAAATCATGTACAAGTTTCTTCTTTTTTTTGGGGTCATTTTACAAATCCAAAAAAGAGACAGAAAAATAAAACATGAAAGGTAGATCAAAACACCAAGAATCAACAAAAACAAAACGTTAAATGTACCTTAAACTCACAGCTATGTACCCAACACTTTGCTGAAATGAGTGTAAACTAACCATAAACTTTATAACTAATAACTGTTTATGTTCAATTGAGCACATTGAAAAAATAGAAGTCTCTTCATCAGGGCTACCTTTAAAAATGATCGATTTTGCTTAAAATGGTTAAACTTTTATGTTCAGTTCAACCATATGAATTGCTTGATTGGCAACTAATAAATTCCACTGTAAAGAGCAAAGTACAAAATAAATTAAACTAATGACGTGATAAAAGAATCTCTACTAAACTGTAATTGAAACCCTTTCTCTATGCAAATTTACACTCATTTAACAACACTGAGTTTGAGCTTCTCTCATGGAGATAACCAAGAAGAAGCATTATGCTATCTTTGCCTTTTATTTAGTACACATGTAGCGAGCACGTGCATAACGTGGTTCAAAATTAATACCCAACTGCAGTGAAGAAGAAAAATGAGAGAAGTTTAAGAATTTGAGAAGGATGGGCTTGAAGAAAGAAAAGAAATGATGAGTTGAAGAAGAAAGGAGGACATTAGGCCGGTCAAAATGATCCCACGTGGTCAAATAATGTCAGAAATAACGTACCACATCAACATTATGTTACTTCAGTAACGGCCGTAATGTCGGGTAACAATAAATTTAAGGTAAATATAAGGTAGTATATGTTCAAAGACTCGATTATTTGACAATAAACATTTATACCGCTATATACGTGATGCTCAAACCTAAAACTTCCAAGGATAACAACAATCCTTTAACCACTAGAATTGTTTGGTTCGTACACCTACGTCATATTAACAATAATTAGGAGTGTACATTAAATCAATTCAATTTGTATACATCAAAATAACTAATTAATTTTACTATAAAAATTGAAATAATTGAACTAAATTTCTTGTTAACCAATATAAAATAACCGAATTTTATATTTAAATTAAATTAATTAAACATACACATAAAAGTTTTATCTAAAATATTTATTTGATACACGAATCAAACAACTTCGACGGTAAAAATTGTTTGAGGTCCCAAAATTTAATGTCAAATACTTGAAAATCATTTTTGAATAGATGTTATATTGTAATTACACCATATTAATAAAAAATTAGTTGATTTAATGATTTGAATTATATAAATTAAATCTGATGTCAAATACTTGAAAATCATTTTTGAATAGATGCTATATTGTAATTACACCATATTAAAAAAAAATTAGTTGATTTAATGATTTGAATTATATAAATTAAATCTGAATAAATTTAAAAATTAATTTAATTTATTAGATTAATTCGAGTTAACAAGCTTGTTCCAAAAAAAAACAGAGAAACTTATAATCCCCTAACCGTGGGATCTACTCTAAGGTGATCAGATTAAGAAGATAAACGGTCAAGATAACACATTTCTATCTGAAGTTTGATTAATTAATCAGAGGACCAGATCATGAAAATAGACGGCCAAGATCACACTTTACCGTCCAGCGGATCCCACGTTCACCCGAATTTGTTTTCTTGTTCGTTTTGTTAATTTGTTGCTCCCATCCCTAGCAGCACCCTTCTTCATTTCTTCGAGACATTTTAGAAGAAAAAGAAGATTTTCATCTTATTGTTCTTAATTTTCTTCGAAAACAATCAGAACGATGGATGATTACACGAGGGAGATGATGGATTTGAAAACGCTAGTTACCCGAACCCTGGAGAAGAAAGGGGTTCTAGCTAAGATCCGGGTAAGAAAAAAGTTTTCTATTTTTCCCCCGGAATTTCATGTTTGGTTCTCGAGAACGAACGACGAAGAAGAAACTGAGTTGAGGAATTTTGCTCTGTTAATTTAAAGTTGAGAAAAATAATTCCTCTTTTGGCTTTGGATCTCGTGTTAGGGATAGAAACATTTCTTTTTGAAAATTGGATATTTGTTAAAAATGTTTTACCTTCACGAATAATTGAATGTGTAAATTGGATTTTTAGATCTTTGGACCTGAAAGTTGAAATGACATGTTCTGAAAACATTAAAGTGTGGTTCTTTTGGGGTGGAATTAGATAAATTGGAAATGTTGATTTCCCCCCTTTTTGAAAGTTCGAAATTTTTGAAGATTTTCTCATTGATATTGTTTGATAAGCTGGGTTGCTGTTAATTTTGTTGAAGTGTAAGCCGGAAATTTTTATTTTCAGAAAATTTGTGCATATTTTCTTTGCATTAGAAGATAGAGAGGGAAGAGGAAACTTCTTATTTTCTGGGGTCTTTAGTATAGGGATTTATAGGAAAATAGTGTAGTTTTAGGAGGGGAAGCTAAGATTTGTACCGGTGCACCATTTAGTTGACAAGGAAAAGGGTTTCTCATTTCCACTGATTGAATAGGGGAAGAATGCAAGATGAGGAAAACATATTATTGAGTATGCACATTTGGTTTCGGAACTTGGAAGTTTGTAAGTGAGATATTTCAAAAGGAATAGAAGAGAAAGTCATGTCCCGAGTTTTCTGAAATGTTTAACCTAGTTAATGATGAGTGTTGAACTCATTCTCGGATTTTGAACAGGAATGCCAGATAATCATTTTCCTTGGCTGCCTCTGTTTAGGAATTGCAGATATGGGGAAAAAGAGGGGGGATTTTTTTTTTCATTTGTGTGCAGGGGTGTGGTATTAAAAGTGCAGATCTAACAAAGTCCTTAGTG